AGGAGCAGTCCTTGGACCCTACGTTCCAGTGATAAAAACTCTAAATGGTTTTGTGTACCATTGGATTTTTGACAATTCTGTGTCCCCAATGCTTTGGGGACATATTAGGGATGGTCTCTTCTTTTTCAAATGCACACCAGTGCATAAACAAGGTCCACAAAGAAATGATTGAATCAGTGTAAAAAATAAAAATTGTGAGTATTATTGTAAAAGCCAGGGTTTTATTTATAAAGCCAGTATAAAATGTCAGAAATTTGTGATTATTTAAAAACCCTGGTTGGATTTTGATCATTTATGTGGCGATTACTACAGACAATATTTATCCCAGTTTCTGTTCAAACCTAAAACGGTCGAACTGTTCTTAAAAACTTTTTAAAAAACTTTTTTTCCAGGATCAACATTTCTTTTTAACCAAAAATGCCTCAAATAAATGTATTTATAACCTGAACATTCACAGTTGTTTTCTTTGATTGCTTTTCAACGATAAAAAAAAAAAATAAAAAATTGCTGTGTCTTTTTAAAGGTCTTTGTTTGAAATATCTTTGATTTGATTTGTATTCACTGGGGGAAAAGGGGACAGTGGCTGGGTGGTCATGGCCTTCGGCCATTTTTCTAGTTGTGTCTTGTACAATTTGGCCCTTTGGTACAAAAATTTGGGACCACTGGTTTAAATTAACATTATCTGGGGAAAAAAAGACACATTGATAGATGGTTGTTTTTCTTTTCTGTAAGATCTATAAGATATGATCCCTTTCGGAACAAGCCTCATCTGTCCAGTCAATAAATTGTCATTTAAGTCACATGCATATTAGCTCCTAGAGCAGGAAGTTACAGCTAGGTCTCATTGGTATGTAGGACAACACATACTTGACCCTGAGAACTCTAAAAGCTTTCCCCTTTTTCTATTTTGGCCTGCGGGTGTTATGCTCATTAGACAGGACGAAAGAGGAAAAGTGAAAGAGAGCCACAGAGATTGAGATTAGGTAACATTCCATCTCCATTGTGTTGTTATACAGTGGAAAAAAGGAAAAGGTTTGGACATTTCAGACAAGAGGATATCTGGACTTTGGTTGATCTTTTTGTTTTTGAGTGAGATGATGTCTGGAGGTGTCATTTGAGTTCATTGAGAGAAGGTTCCCTATACCCTTTGCCCAGTCTGAGCTGGAGATCAACAGGACTATGGCCTTTCAGACCCTAGCCAGGATTTTATAAGTGATTGACAAAATGAGTGAAATATATTCTCTGGCAGTACCATTGTTATCTTGTTGCAATACCTGGGAAATTTAAGGCAGCCCCTTCATTTTCCCTTTTGGTGCAGTTGGTTTGAAGAGTTGAGAACGCACAAGGGCTCTTGAGTGCAGAAGCAAAAACAACATGCATGAACAGTTGATAAGTGGTGAGAACATTATCCTAACACAAAGGGATGTCCCTTTAGAACTACATAAGCTGCTGTAGTGTATATTGTATATCTGTATTTAGATGAGACGAGAAGATCAGGTGCTGCATTGGAAACCAAAAACGTTTTCTGTAATCAGAACCCTTGTGTAAAACGGTAGCCTTGAAATTATTATGGATATAAGTTGACCAACTATTTTTTTTAGGAAACATTATTTTACTTACTTTACAAAAGTACAAATGTTTATTATTTCATGTGAATTAAAGAAGTCTTTCTCAGTCAAAGTGGTCAAGTCGTGAGTCATTGTGGTTCAAATCCAATCGAGTCCCAAGTCTTTTACCATATTGTCAAGTTGAGTCTTTAGTCCACACCTCTGGCAAATGAAAAAGACTGCAGACACCCAGCTCAGTTGTGTCCTGTTAGTTGCCATTTTTTTGTCCTCCTGTTGTTTGCACTCAGGGGTTCTGTTGGATTGTCTTTCATATAATCATTTTCTTTCCCAGCTTCTTCCCTTTCTGGATCACAGGGTTCTGATAGTCCAGTTCACTTCGGGCAAAAGACAGGGGTACATTGTGGACAGGTCATCAATCTTATGGGGGAAACCAAAGAAAAGTACCCAGAGGAAACCCACACTAGCTTGGCGAGAACATGCAAACTCCTTCCAAAAAAGCTACCACCTGGCAAACAAACTTCTTAATGAAAGGCCACAGTGCTGCCCACTGCACCGCAGTGCTGTCCCCAATCCAAAAATCAATTATATGTTTGGCACCTCTGGCCAATGAGTGATGTGTCACATAATGGTAGTTACCATCAGTGGTTGCCTGTGAAGTTTAGTATTCAGTACCAGCAATGCTTCATTTGTCCATGAAGATGTCCAGGAGCAACATGAGGGTGCTGTTCCAGCAGTTTCAAAGGGAGAGAAAATCTTTAGGTTCTGGATTTTTTTCATCACTTTGCACAATGTTTCAATTGCAACCATTTTTTAAACATGGTTTGCAAATGTTTAAACATTTGGGCTGATTTTAAGGATAAAAAGCGTCCTGGGACCTCATGTGAATGTTCAGGTTAAATAAATTTATTTATTATAGGCATCCTGGAGAAGATTTTGCAAGTTTTTAAGAACATCACAATATTTTCAGGTTTTTGAACAGACGGTGTGCTTAGTAATGTGTGTGTTGATGCCCTAAATTAACCAACATGTTAAAAGCAGTGGTGTGCGGCTTGATTGTGGTCATAATTAAGCATTGTAGAGTGACCCTTTTCTGGTCAAAACATATTTCGGGTTTTGCACTTCACAGACAGTCCCTAATTGATCCTATCTCAGTTGGCTGGGCATATAAAGCAATGTATTTTGGGGAAGTTGGAGGAGGACATATTTTGACAAAAATAGAGTTGTAACCGTGTCCTCTGTGTTACACAGATCAAACAGAGGTGTCATATGTATATTAAGAGCATTTGGGTCTCGTGCTATTGAGCAGAGAAACATGAATCTGTGAATTTGCAGTCGCCTTGCTGAACTCTACTATACTCCCTATTTGGGGTCCGGCTGAACCACAGGTTGAAAAAAACCATTGTGAATCGAACAATGGCTTTTAATCTCTTTTTTTATTTTGTTTTATCAGAAATTGACAACCAAGCATCACTTAAAATACAAATAAAACAACAAAACACCGATAAAATTAGATATTATACAAAGTTTCTTTGCAGATATATACTGACAGGTACGGTCAATCAAAGTGTACCTCCCAACCTGCGAGGTACTGGAGCACAAGGTACAGAGTACAAGGATTTCACTTTTGTCATTAAATCGGTGCTGAGCATGGCACCGCTTTATATAAGCGACCTATAGGAATGCTGTACTTGCTTTGCTCGTCACTGCCCCCTAAGTGTGACTGTAGAATAGAGGCTTTTTGTGGCACTTCCAAACTCACAACTCGCCACCAAAGGACTGTTGATTTATGACCGAGATGGGTACATTTGGATGTTGTTTCTGTCGATTTTTACCAGTTGACGAAGCTAACCGTATTCAGTTATTCGATTGAACACAAAAATCTATTTCAATACTTATTCCTTTTATTCTCTGGATGAAGTGGCTCTCATGTAAACCCGGTCCAGTCACAGTGCTCTTACACCTTCGGAAATGGAACACTAACTCATGCTGCTCACTCAACTTTGTCCATTGATTTTCCAGGAATAGTTTTTGTGAAGTCTCTGAACACTTTTTAATAGTGCTGCTTGGTCGCAACGCAGACAGACAGTAGATCAGCCACGCTTGTGGAGCGTCGGCACATCTGGAAACACTAAGCCTCCTGCTCCACTGCTTGGCCCAATAAAACTCCCCTCACTTTCTCCACTCACATTTTTATTAGCTCTGACTCTTTGTGTGGTGTAAAAGCACATTGATGACCGGATGATGCTCCCGACACTATGACCTGGGAAAGTTCAGATGGATGAGGTGAGACAGAGCAGGGGTATAGGTATGAAATATCTCAGATCTTCTTACTTCTACTACTCCGCTCTAATTAAATGCATCTTATGTAGGTCTGCTCTAATGAGTCTTTACATATTTCATATCAACTTCTTTCTCATCTCTCATGCGTTAATATTTAAGCAATGATGTGATTGATATGTCTGCTGAAAATAGAATCTAGTCTTACAAGCTTTTTCTAATGCAGGAGTGTGGGAGAGTATTTGTCCCATATTGATTGGCAGACAGGTTCTGAAAGATGGCTAGGATAACATACTAACAGGTTTGTGCTCTTCATCAACTCGCCAGCTCACATCAACATCTTATACTGTCTGATGTTAACTGACACTTTTGTGTCTGCAGTAAGCATGTGCCACGATCAATTTTTCATGCTGCGATGGATTGACTAGGACTTTATAAGTATTATTAGTACTATGGAAACAAACCGTTTTAAAAACATGAGTCCATTTCAGTGTTTTGCTCATGTGACTTAAGGAAAACAAACTGACTAGGAGCAGGAAGCTTGCTGCACATGCCACGCCACATTCAGCATTAGTGCAATTCCTTATCAATTCCACAATTTAGCAAAACAGGAAGCACAACTTCTGTCATGTGAAACAGTTTTTTTGGATTATGTGATGGTTAAATATGTGAACACTGGTGACTGGTGAAAAACTAAAACGTTTTTGTTTTGTTTTTCATAATTACGGGGTAAAAAAAACCTCTTAGGTGGTTTGGTGGCACGGTGGGTAGGACTGAGGGCTTCCAGTTATAAGGTTGTAAGTTTGAGGCTCGCTGGTGACCTTCTTGGAAGGAGTTTGCATGTTTTGGGTACTCCAGTTTCCTCCAAAATCCCCAAAACATGTGCAGGTTAATTGAATAATCTAACATTCCCCTAATGTGTGAATGTTGCCCTGCGATTGACTGGTGACCTGTCCAGTGTGCAACCCCGCCTCTCAGCCAATGTGAACTGGAGATAAGTACCAGCAGTCCCCCATGGTCCCAAAATGGAAAAAGCAGACAGGAAACTGTTTACAATTTTTGGGGAAGTATTTTTTTGTATTCTAATGCAATTCTTGTCAAGAAGTCAAGGCTGCCGTAAAAATTTTGACATAAACAGGAAGTTGTAATAATTCTGTATTTCTGTGGTTCAGTTGGTAGGGCATTGGGCTAACAATGCCAAAGTCATGGGTTCTAATCCCAGGGAATGCAAAAACTAATAAAAAAATGTGTTCATTCTTTCAAATGTAAGTCGTTTCGGATAAAACGTCTGCCAAATGCATAAATATAAATGTAAACTCACAGATAATGTCTAAAACCATACAATGTCTGATTGGACCAAAATGTACCAAAGATGTTTAGATCCATGTTTAGATTTACACATCTAAAAAGTAGTCTCTTGGTTATAGCCCCACCATGTGGCCGTGGGAAACACACCATTCAACAATGATAACGTACTAGTATATTGCCCAAATCAACTCCAGAAAATATTTAGATCCATAAATATTTAAACTCATTAGCGCCACCTGGTTTAGATTGTTTAATATACTTACAATTAGTAATTTTTACAATTTGTCCTTGAATATGTCTTCGGATTGCTTGAAACTGGATTGGTTGGATTGGTTGTAGTGCAACAAACTGGCCACTGAGAGGGGATGACGCTGGAGGTGCTTGAGCTCTTTGATAAATGCTCGCAGTATTAATTAAGTTCAGGTTTTTTAAACTAAAATACTTTTTTTCTTAAATCCAAAAACATTTTAGAAATGTTTAAACATTTCCTTTTTAAATTAATTTAAACCTTTAACTTGTATTTTAAGGTAGCTTTGCTCTCGTATATGTTTTTATTTAAATACACAGTTTACTGGATAATGTGCATTTAGTCGTTAGTATTTTCATTCATTCATTCATTCATTCATTCATTCATTCATTCATTCATTCATTCATTCATTCATTCATTCGTTCATCTTCTTTCCCACTTGTTCCCTTTTGGGGTCACGGGGGTCTGCTAGATCTCCAGTGCACTTCGGGCGAGAGGCGGGGGTATACCCTGGACAGTTTCCTGTTCATAACAGGGCAACACCCACATTCACTCACACATTCAAACAAAGGAAATTTCTTTTATTAAACCCACGCAAGCACAGATTAATATTAAAACACCTTGATCTCTGTGAATTATGTATACAGAACCTTTTTAATTCAGCTGCTCATTTCTCGTTTGTTTTCTGAATATTCAGAGTGTGAATATTTAATTTAAAGTTTATTCAAATATATATATATATATATATATATATATATATATATATATATATATATATATATTTTTTTTTTTTTTCAAAGAATAAATAATCTTTTTTTCCCAAAATCTTTTGCTATCGAGCATTCTACCAAGCTTATGTGTCTCTTTTGGATAAGGGAAGAGGGTTAATAATTTATATGCTAAGATGTATGAATTATTGAATATGGCAGTGATTATTTTCACTCTGCCTGCGAGCTGAATTGTTGGACTAATGTTATTGGGGTTTTTGGTCCATAAGATGAGCTTGAGAAATTCAATAGTTACTCATGGTGTTGCACACTGTTGCCATGGTGATGTTCAGGCAACTGTAGAGGTGTTTCTGCATCAATATTGATATTGTAAATAAAATATTGCATTCTTAAACATGTATAGATGTTAGACACATGAAATAGAGAATAAAAAAACTTTCTTCTACATCACTTATTCATGATTTACAAACTGCATGAAGTTATCATTACTAATTTTGGTCTTATCTCACCATAAAATACTTTAAAATGCACAGCACATGTAAATTTTAAACAAATATGATTAATCAAATGATGAAAAAGTCACTCTGTAGGGTTCATATGTTTTAAATCAGTGCCTCACCAACCATGGACCTCACCACACATAACTGAACAGCCATATAGTAAATATGAGGGCTTTTCGAATCATTATTTTTTTCCTGCAAAGCAGCCAAATATCTCTCACCAGCTCAGAATACCTTAAATGTGGCAAGTAACCATGTGGTCAGATAGCAGACAGGTGCTTGGCCAATGAGAGATCATTGTGTTAGATGCAGTCACTGTTACATGGATGTGGAAAGGAATCATTAATGCAGTTAAAGCAGTTGCCATGTATGTGAACTGATTTGCTTTAAATTCAAAGTATTATGTTCAATTTTGAAACATCTCTCTTTTCAGAGCTATTTTCAGCTGCCTGTTGTAATGGCTGCTCGTTAATAGAGATATTAGCTGCTGGAATAGCAGCCTGTTCCCTTCAGCCTGTGTTATGACAGGTTAGTCCTCTGCAATTATTCTCCTCACCTCGCCGGCTGACCACCCCACCCCCACAACACAGTCTTAACCTATTCGGAGCCTCTCCACAAGGCCATTCATGTGGTCGTTTCACGTAGCCACTTTATTTCAATTCATCTGAGCAGTATGGAAGAAAAATAAAACAACAATTTTCTACTAATTTCTGAGACATTTAGAACAACAAAGTTCACCTGTGTTCAGTCACATGACTATTTTGCTTTGGAATTTACATTTTGAGACGAAGTGACATATTATATGAGAGGTTTCAAATTCATGCGATTCTCTGATCAATCTTTATTTGTATAACAGCAGACGGTGTCTTACACCATCACCACTTAATTTGGTTGTATTAATCTAGAGTTTCACCATCAAGGTTCATTCAGGCAGGTGAGTATGCAACGGAAGGTGAGTGTAGAACCGAAAGTGAACCAAAACGTGCATCTTGCGACGCACTGTAGTACAGTAGTTTGATTTTTGGTGAGAGCTCAGACATGGTGCTTTTCCACTGTGTAACACCGTTTTAATGGGGTTCTTTCCACTGCGTTGTGGCCATGGAACCGACACCATTTCTGGAACTCGCTTTGAGGAGGTTCTCTATATATTTCTATTGTACTTAACACTTTATAGTATTTTTCTTTTACTATATGTTGCACTGACTAGCGAGATGCTCTTAATCTCATTGTACATGTTTATAATGCAAATTGTACATGTGTATAGTGACAATAAAAGGCATTCTATTCTATTCTATTCTAGAACCAACACCAGCGCTCTGAATTGTCCCATAATCCAAGCAACAAACAAAATAGTCCTGCGGTGCGTTCGGGATCCCAAGTTGTTTTCCGCATATTTCCCGATTTCATGTCGCACTCTTTATTGCATCATGAAAGAAGTGCCATGAAATACTCTCATGATGTCTATTACAAGCGAATCCCTCTGACCTGACACTAAAGCCCTTGGTAAAGATGGCCGAACTAAACTGTGCAGAGCTGTCCCATGTCGTGCAGTAGAAATGTGCCAACAGACAAAGCTGTATAAAGCTGCATTTGTTGATATATCTTGATCATTGCAACTTATGTTAAGCAAAGTAAATTACGATGGAGATAATATATGTCCATTTTGAATAACGAATCTCCTTTTGTCTGCTTACTTTTTGTCTGGCTGTTTGATTTTTGTGCATTCAATTCTGACAAATCAAAAAGCAGTTTGGGAGATATGTTTAATGTACTATTTGGTCAAATAGTCATGTGAATGTTGGGACATAACTGTGTTTTGGTTTGCACAATTCAGATAAAGATGGAGCCGAATGGAAGAAAAATATGATTTATTGCACTCGGCCCCTCTCAAATGAATCAAAATCACGTGTTAAAACCTCTCACAAAATTCTTTGTGTTATTAGTAAGAACATAAAAAAAGAATAAACAAAACAGTGTGTATTTATTTTCTGACATTCTTTAAAATGGTTTTGATTAATTTTTCGTGACATTTTTAATTTTGAGAGGAAACAGTCAGGGAACTGCACCTGTAACCTATCTATCCATCAAGCCAGGTTAGCCAGCCTTACCTGGTCTCTAGTTGACATTTTCTCAACTTCACCCTCCTTCCTCCCCAGAACTCCTCAGAGAAGACAGCCTGCCTTATACGTTTGTACTCGCCACTTTATGCTCCTACTACAGGGCAGGCCCTGGTGGTGAACTCATGAATGATATTCCTGAATGTTTGCGTTTATTTTGATGGTTTGGGTCAGTTGCCGACCCACCTTGTATTTTTAGAGAGAAAAAAAACATATTCGCAGAAAAATCTTCTAAAAACAACACATTGAAAAACCTTGAAAAATAAAGTTTGTTTAATATTTATGTCTAAACGTTTTTTTTATTTTATCAAAGATCTTATAATAAACATATTTCGGGAGAAGGAATTAGTATGTGTCGCCCATCAATTATAACATTTTCCCATGTCTTCTTAAGCTAAAGTATATCCTTTAATATCCTTAGTATATACTTTTATATATAAAGTATACCCTTTAATTTCAAAGGGTTTTATTTATTCTGTTGTAATCCTTGCAAACAGATGTTGATGCATCTGTTTTGCTTATTATCAGCAGATAATCACAGAAACAGATTAAAAATTCCATTTATTTTACTTCTGTTTATATATAGTGCTTTATGTGGTTGTCTTTATCGATTCTAGGGGCACTATGGCATGTTGTAAAAATAAGATAACATTGTTCTTTCAGCTGTGTTTTAAAATGTTTGCTAAATTCTGGATATAATTTACTATTGTAACAGGGAAAAGCCTTTGAAAATGACTGCATTGACATTGATTATCTCTTTTAGAGTTATGCAATAACGCTCCACAACAACATGGATTTCACAATGAGTATTTAGTAGTAATCATAGTTATTTCATATGTGTACTGTGTACTGTTTCATATATGTATCTGTTTTTTTGTTTTGAAACAAACATTAAATCTAATCCTGACATGTGAGATCATCACATTGGAACCACGTCCGTTATGTTTTAAGCTATTCCTGTATTCCACAACTGTTTCCAGTAATTACTTCAAAGACGAGGGGGACAATGAGTCGATCAGTCAGAACACTGATGACAACCTGGTTGCCATTTCCTGCTGCTGGATTCCACACTGATGAGTTCACTCGGGAGTAACATCGGCATCTTACCCCAGAGACAAATGCACACCAATTGTGCAATGTGGTATATTTACCTTTAGCGCTCCAGTTATAGATCTTAATGTATTGATTTTCAGTCATTTATAAGTGGTAATCAGTCTTCAGTATGGATTGATGACTGTGTAAGCAGTGCTGATCGCAAAGGTTAAAGATGATGGGTGTCTTTGTGATTCATTAGCGCTGTAATTATCTGTTCACCAAATGAAGTTGGTTA